CTAGGAGACCGATATCTTCCCCCTTCGGAACAGTTACTTTGAAGACTTTCCTGTCAAAGTCCCCTACAAATACACTGATCTCCTTGTGGAAGAATATGGCTCCAAGGCATTGACTACTATTGACTTTCAGGGGTGCGTACATGAAGCTTCGCTGTTGGGTCCTTAACTGAGTTTCCGTTTAGTCACCATTTCAACGAGGAGACCAAGATCTGGGAACAAACTAAGTTAGTACTAACCCTGACTGGGCCGTCCAATATAGCTCACTAATATTTCAATCGCCAGAGAGAAACGAGAACTTTCGCGCCGGCGAAGATCCATCACTCTCCCCAAGCGAACCACGCCGCTTCCCTATCGTTTAAAATGAACTCACCGAAAGCTCAAAAACGAACATACTAACACGCAATCGTGTATATTTCTTCTACTTGGTTTATGATAACGACCACTCTACCCCTCCATTTTCACATCTCCCGGTTGCATCATCTGGCGTTCCATTTCTCTTCGAAAGACATTTGGTACACAATTCTGTGCTTTTGCATTATATGCACCATACCCGGGTTGACTTTTTTTTTTGGGCTTGACTCTCGCACTGACGCTCCTTGAAAGTTTCCTTGAAAGTCTTCCGTGAGCATTTCCTTTCTCGAGCCATTACCATCTTCATGGGACGCAGTCGATATCATTTGATCTTCTTAATGTGTATAACATTGAACGGCATGTGATGTATATATTGGGTGTATATATAGGACAATATAGAGCACGCGCCATTTGAATATCAATGTGGTAGTATTCTAGATCGCAGACCTCACATGAGAAGCAAGATCAAACACGACAAATACGACGAGAAGTTACCGGAAGGATTGACACGACTGAAATTCGTTCCGCTGAATCTAATTTTTAGAAGACGAGAATATCATTGCCGGAAGAAAATAGACATTCGGTATTTTCCGAAAGATCGTCCAGTCTAGTCACGGTGACTCATAAGTTCATAACGTCGAAGCTTAGATACCCTGAAAGCTTTTCTAACACGTGCGCGGAAGTCGCTATGGTGGCAGCAGCTGATTTGTGTAACGTGTCCGAATGTCCATGGGAAGTCATCTGATAACTTTACAGCGATGACTGTGCTAATCCTTGTTTTCTTTTATCTGATCCGATGGCAGTGCAGTCTTGAGTTTCGTATAGGTATCAACTAAGGTATAAAGTCCCTCGATTTGCGTGAGTTGGCTTGACTGTGACGTCAGTGTATCAGAATGCTTTAGAGCTATCTCAGGCATCAACATTACTACGCAATCAAGTCATAGTAAACTTTTTGGGGTCCAGGTGGACAGGCTCGTATCTTCCTTTCAAAATACACTCAATTATCCTTTAGAGGTCCACGGGCTGTCGAGAGATGTCTTACATGCATCGGTATTAATAATGTTACAAGGTTGGCAGCCACTGACAGGCCCAGGAACCATCGATGAGGAGCCTGGACTGCGCCTCAGGCCGCCAATAACCAACCATCGCCTGTCCCCACTATGAGTCGATGACCGAAGATCCAACTCAAAGAAAAAAGCCAAATACCTAAGGAGATTTATATGACAATGAGGGCTCAGAATCGCGATCGAGTTTTCGTCTATGATTTGCTTTCCTCATTCTCTATATTCTCAATATCTGGATAAGCATCCATTCTCCGCGCTGCTGGGAATGTAGCACGGATCTCAACCATTCTCCATCATCCGTCATGTCATTCCCGCCCACCGAATCCATTTCATCTGTAAATCAGCCTCTCTCATCTCGATCTTCGTCGAGTAACCCCTTTGGACACCCTAAAAACACTTCAGTCGACCATGCAGCCGACCCCGGTACTCACAGCGCGCATGACCCTCCTAGCATTCGCAGCTGTGTGACTTGTCGAAGAAGAAAAGTCCGCTGTAATAAGAGGACCCCGTGTTCCAATTGTGTCAAGGCGGGTATCGAATGTGTCTTTCCTCCACCTGGAAGGGCCCCTCGTAAGTCGAAACGACCTCATGATGCGGAGCTCTTGTCCCGTTTGAGACGGCTTGAGGGAGTTATTGAGCATCTCAGCGGCAAGAAGCCTGGGGCTGTGGAGCCATTGTCCGCTGTATCTTCGCCCTCGCAACAGGAACCTGGACCCGCGTCTCCCCAAGAAGGTAGGCAGACGACACCTCAGACGCAGAGTGTCCAGGCCGGAAAATGCCCGTTCGTGCTAGACTCCGATCCGCAGGCTGCTAAGCCACGAAACCTGGAACATGAGTTTGGACGGCTAGTCATCGACGAGGGACGCAGTCGATATGTCAGCAACCGGTTGTGGGCGAGTTTGGGGGATGAGGTGAGCATTAAATTACTTCAACCCACAATCGTTTGTGCTAACTCTTGTGGCAACAGATTGAGGAACTTCAAGATATTTTGGACCCTTCATCATCAGAAGAGGAAGATCATCCTTCGCCTGAATCGTCGTCGACTCTGTCCGCAAATCACGACGGATTCCTCTTCGGATACTATTCTCTTTCTCATTCACTTCGCGGTTACCATCCCCCGCCGCCCAAAATTCCAGTATTGTGGGATATCTACCTGGATAACGTTGCGCCGCTTATACCTATGTTCCATAAGCCCACCGTACGAAAACTTCTTACAGAGGCCGCCCAGAATCCGAATCTCCTGGACAAGAATTCCGAAGCCTTGGTCCTTTCGATCTACTATGTTACTATAGTCAGCATGTCGCCCGAACAATGCTTCTCAGTTCTGGGCGACGATCGTGATACAGCGGTAACGCGTTACCGGTTCGCAGTCGAGCAGGCATTGTCCAAAGCTGGTCTCCTCAATACGCAGAGCCTGATGCTGTTGCAAGCTGCTGTACTTTTTCTGATTGCTGTACGGCGTGAGGATGATACTAAATTTGTCTGGACCATGACAGCGGTGGTTCTGCGCCTGGCTCAAGGTATCGGCCTGCATCGTGACGGAACTAACTTTGGCTTGAAGCCCTTTGAAACTGAAATGCGTCGGCGACTGTGGTGGCATATCTGCTTGCTAGATATCAGATCAGCCGAAGAGCATGGTACTGATGCACAAATTCATGACAGGATGTATGATACTCGCCTTCCACTGAATATCAACGACGATGATATCACGCTCGATATGCAGGAGCCACCCGAAGAGCGCGTAGGTTTCACGGAAATGACCTTTTCCTTAGTTCGGTGCGAGATTACTGCCGCACTCAAGAGGGTCAGCTCCATGTGTCCAACCGGCCTTCCTCACCCCGAGAACACACAACGACCCCCGGACTCTTGTGCGAAGTTGATTCAGGAGGTCAACAAACGGATTGAGGAGCGATATATCCGACACTGTGACATGAATGTGCCAGTACAATGGGTCTGCGCCACCGTTGCTCGTCTGATTTTGGCCAAGCTCTGGCTCATGGTTCATCATCCTATGACTCGACAAAATCCGGCGGCTAGCAATCTGACCATAGCGTCTCGGGAGAATCTGTTTGTCACCTCGGTCGAGGTTGCAGAGTTCACTCGGCTGCTGGGTCAAGATCGGACCACTGCCAAATGGAGCTGGCTTTTTGTGACAAATATGCAATGGCACTTGATTGCCTTTGTGCTGTCGGAGCTTTGCGTTCGCCCGCTCAGCCCACTCACTGATCGTGCCTGGCAGGTGGTGAGTTCATTATATGAGACATGGGGCCGTACTACAAAACACAGGAAGGGTATGCTTTGGCGGCCGCTCTCCCGGTTGATGAAGCGGGTGGCTGCCTTCCGAGAGCAGCAGCAGCAGCAGCAGCAACAGGGCGTACAGGATACGTCCGATCCCAGCTCTGCTCAGAGCCTATCCACACCTTATCACCTTGGTGTCTGGCAGAATGCTGTCCAGCCTTACCTGGCTGGTGGTGTCCCTCAAATCCGAGACCCTTCAGTCCCAGGGAGTGCTCAGCCCGCGAACCAGCCTATCGCTGGACCGAATTTCAATACCGAAATCGTGCCCGAGCTCTTCCCCAATGTCAGCTGGCCGGCCCTGCCGGATTCCCAAGGCATGAGCGCACAAGACCCATTTAGTACAGCCGCACCGATCGAGATATCAGAAAACCTCATGAGCCCTACCACGACAAGCCAAGATCCTGCTCTTCTTCAACACAACTGGGAAGCGTGGGATCAAGTGATGCGCGACTTTCAGATGGATGTTCAAGAAGCGCAAACAAGCCATCCACTAGGCAATGTTTCAGACTGGCTTGCTTGATCAGCATGTAACGTCGAATCTCGATGATAATCAACTCGCCTCAGCTCTCTACTCTTCGGCCCTGGAGGCCAACATTGTCTTACTTAGGGACGCGTTCGACTTTTCCTTGATGGATAAAGCATTTTCCTCCGCGACCTTTTATATGAAGATCTCAGCTCCCTTACGACCATGGACTTTCTCTCCTCTTAACGACTTACTATGAACTCTCAACTCTTCATGATGAACGACGTATGACTTGGCTGGTCCGCATCTTGGACTCTATTTTATTCAGGGGCTCGGTGCTCAGAGCAATTGACTGCACGCCCTCTGTCGCAGGGATATGGAGCTTTAATCTACCCCAATTCCTGGTGACGTATCAGACCGTTGAGCGGTCTGAATGTGTATATTATAATGCATAGTGTATAGTATAAGTGTATGCTTATAGGGCAAAATTGCGATAATATTCTTACAATTGTCAATGTAGGCATCTGCCATTCTCACAGCCCACACTCGGAGTGACTCCGTAATAATACTCCTCTGTATCCTGATTATACCCAATGATCACGTGACTTGGAACACAAGGCGAGCAGGCTACGTAATCAACGGCGGGTGGAGTAAAGGTATGGCCTTAGTATGGTCCTCTATCGGGTTGTGTACACAGTAGCTTCATCCGCACTTGTCAACCAGAGAATCGACACCGAAACTTCCACTCCAAGTCACGCCACATCATCTTCGCCGACTCATCTGTCCCAAACGTCCTCAATTCATCCCTGATACAATTGACCAGCATGCCTTCCAAACGAACACAAGCCCCCAGCTCCTCCACGCTTTCGTCCGGCCCAGCAGTCCTATCCTCTAATTCCTCCGTATACCAAATCGCCCACCATGTATGGCAGCAGTACCTCACCACAACGCCGCAGCGCACCATGATGCTTGACGCCTTCATGGTGTTTTTGTTGTTTGTCGGCGCCGTGCAATTCCTCTATTGCGTTTTGGCTGGAAACTACGTAAGACCTGTTCCCCGTTTCCCTCGGATTTATACAGATTGAGACGGGATGCTGACGAGTGTTTGGTTCGATAGCCCTTCAATGCCTTTCTGAGCGGGTTCTGCGCCGCGGTGGGCCAGTTCGTGCTTACGGCTAGTTTGCGTATGCAGACGAGTAGCGAGCAGAAGGGGTGGAACAGTAAGCCCAGTTCGAAGGGGAAGAATGCGCGGTTTGCGGCGGCGGAAGGTGGGGAGGAGCAGGGTGCGGTGTCTCATGAGAGGTGAGTTTTGTTTTTGGTTTTTTTCGCTGGTTGGGTGCTAGGAATATGTGAGATGACGATTGTTAACTGACTGGTTTGCTGCTGGTAGGGCGTTTGCGGATTACATCTTCGGGAGCTTGATTCTGCACTTTTTCTGTATCAATTTCATCAACTGAGTGCGGGCTGTTAACAGGTGGCAAGATATTCGGTGGAGTTGGAAGGATACCGGTAGTTTCGATTGTCGGGTTGCGAGATGAAAGACCATTGTCTTCATTTCTTCAGGGCCTGCACGGTACTTTGTGAGCTTCACTGGGATGAGACTGTACTTTATTGGCCTTTACTGCAGTGTCGAGATAAAAGTGCTACTGATGGCTGGATACCCAATAGCTGCACCAGAATGGCATCGCATTCTATCTATGGATAGAGTTCAGAGCCCGCTCTTTGAATGAACTCCTCTAAATTTGTACATCGGGTATATGTCTATGCTTGAGGTTGATGCTAAAATGCTCGTCCGGGTTTCCTTTTGATCTGTGGCTTCTTGACCACGGTTCCTCCTCCACTTGCTCCATTGGTCCCGTTTCTCGTGGCCGAAGATGCGGTGACACCACCAATTCTTCGTGCGCCGGTAACAGCAGGACGTCGCACAACGGATCCCGCCTCTACTTCCTTCTTGCGTCTGGATGGATCGTTGCGCTCCTGCTCTCGTAGCTTCTCGGCCGCGGCGCGCTCCCGGTCGGCGGCCATCTGGGTCTCGATCTCCATGCGTCGATTGAATTCCTGTTCGGTGACGCGACGTTCTCGCTGGGAATAGCCTTTCTCCTTGACGGAGTAGAAGACACCGCCAAGTTCGGCGAGCCACTACATTCTCGAAGTTAGCTTTGCAGTTTCAAACTTTCGAACGAAGATGCATCAACTTACGTGTGGGTCCACTGCAGTCACGGTCGACATATACTCCTTGCTTGTCAAAATCAATTCATGGTAGACCACGTATTCTGGCACATAACCTAGGCCATACAGAGCGCTCGTGGGGTGGAGCTGCATGCTCACGCTTGTCCGGAGGTTGATGAACTCGCCGATACCCTTAACCTTGGCCGCTTGGTGATAGAAGCCGGAGCAGATGCACTTGCGGATCACGTCCCAGTCTGTCCCACAGCTTACAAGTCGCATCTTCTGAACTGTCATAATATCATGAAGTTGCTCGCGGACCTCCTTGGCCCGTCGCAGAGTCTTGGGGTGAAGGAAGTGTTTGATACACCATCCATCGGAGTAACCGTTGGATTTCCATTGCGTGTAAACGTGAAGAAGAGTCAAGTGATCAGACTCCGGAACGAAGAATTTCTCGCGCGCCGCATCTGACTCTTCCTGTCGCTCCTTTGGACGATAGAAGACACTAGGAACCGAGAGCATGGAAACAATCGTCAGCATCTCCTCGCTGCACCCGTATTCCTCAGACGCCGTGATGAGCAGCTTGGCGAGCGGAGGATCCATGGGGAACGGAGTCATAGCACGACCAAGCGGAGTTAGGTCGCCCAGATTATCCAACGCGCCCAATGACCAGAGCTCGAAAAGTGATGTCGAAATGGTCTCCTGCGGTGGTGGGTCCATGAAATCAAAATCCAAGAGATCCTTTACTCCAAGTGATTTGAGAAGCAAAACAGTGTTTGAAAGACTCGTTCGCTGAATTTCCGGTATCGTTTGAATATATAGTTCGTTCTTGTAGGCCGACTCGGTATACAAACGGTACGCCTTTCCAGGCCCTGTCCGACCTGCTCGGCCTGAACGTTGATTCGCATTGGCTTGAGAGATAGGTGTGATCTGAAGCGTGTCCATACCCATGCGTGGATTGTACACTTTCAGCTTTGAATATCCTGAATCCACCACAAACATGATCCCATCAACCGTCAAACTCGTTTCAGCAATGTTCGTGGCAACGATGACTTTCCGGACTCCAGGAGGGGCCCGTTCAAATATCTTCGCCTGCTGCTCGGCTGGCATCTGACTGTATATCGGTAATATGCTAAGCTTTGGCGGATCATTAAGCATCTTCAGCCGCTCGTCGATCAACTCGCACGTTGCTTCAATATCTTCCTGACCTGTCATGAAGACAAGTATGTCCCCCGGTCCCTGCGAGACATGAATTGCCAAGACCTGCTTGACCGCACTATCGACATAGTCCTCGCACGGGGTCCGGGAGAAGTGAAGATCCACCGGGAAAGTTCGTCCAGGAATAATAAACTCGGGGGCACCACCAAAGAATCGAGAAAAGCGTTCTGAATTCATGGTGGCTGAGGTGACAATTAGCTTCAAATCTCTTCGACGTGCCAACACCTTCTTCAAAAGGCCCATCAGAACATCGGTATTCAAAGCTCTTTCGTGCGCTTCATCCATGATGATGCAAGAATACTTGTCCAGATCCGGCTGAACCAACGATTCCCGCAGAAGGACGCCGTCAGTCATATACTTGATGACTGTATCTTTGCTGGTGCAATCCTCAAACCGAATGGCATAACCAACTTCGGCGCCAAGATCGACCTCCATCTCTTCACTCACACGTTTCGCAACGCTCATAGCAGCAACTCGCCGAGGTTGCGTGCAGCCAATTATGCCGTATTTTGAGTAACCGTCCTCGTGAAGAAATTGTGTCAGTTGAGTCGTTTTTCCAGATCCCGTCTCACCAACCACCACGATCACTTGATTATCTCGTATGACTCGTAGCAATTCCTCTCGCACGGCGAATGCAGGTAGATATTCCCTCTGTTCGCGGAGCGTTTTGCTCTTGCTGAAAGAGCTTTGTCCGCCTTCACCCTTTTTCAGGTGCTGGGCGAACTTGTTCCCGCTTCTATAAGTATCCTCCACGGGCATGGCAACAGCGCTGTCGCCTTCATCTTCCTTGACACCCATGATATTTCCCAGCGCCGTGCCTGCCATTGTTGTTGCCTCCTGCGCTTGCTTTTGACGCTCCCGTTGCTGACGCCGCTCTCGGACGACCTTGCTCCCTTTACGACTGAACACGGCCATATCGCTCTGCGGATCGCGAACGGCCGAGATAGGCTCCAGTTGCTTGGTAAATATCGTGCGCCCGTCCAGGAACGGCGGTCGCAGATCGTGGACGAGTAAATGGACGCGAGTACCTTCTTCATCTTCTGGTAGAAAGTCGCCTTCAAAATCGCGTCGTTGCGCGACTCCAGACGTGAGCATCCGATTTGTTTCCCACTTGTCGATGTCCTTGCGCTTCGCATCGCGCAGGTGTGGCGGAAGGTTGGAGCTCTTCAGCCTTTTGGCTGGAGGCATTCCGTCAGACGCCATGGTGGAATAACAGCTAGAGGAACTTAAACAAGTCCTTCCAACGGAGTTGAATTAATAACTGAAATAATAACAACAGTGAGTGGCGCAGGAATGGCCACCGGCGCTTGCTTCGAGCCAGGTGCTAGGCAAAGTGTAGAAGTTCTGATAAACTGCGGAGTGGATTATCGGCGATGGGGCAAACGGCGCAAACAAATTGGCATCCATGTCACGTGTTTCAATCTATGGAGGGGCCTGGAATAGGTCATGAGATTGATATACAATGAGAATAACCTTTTTGCAGGCTCAATTAGAGATCAACTCTAGATATTGAAAAATACAGTGAGTCTAAACTGGAATTTTGTTCAGACTGTAGCCTGAGCGTCCTTCGTAGACGCAACTTTTTAGTCTGCTTCTCTCCGCGCGGCGGAAATCGAGACCACGCCCCGCATCGCATTCTGACCTTTGCAACAACAGAGTGACAGCATCGGATATCAAAAAATGGCCAGTCAAGCTCAAATAAACCCCAAGAAGCAGCAGGGTACGCCGATGAGTTCTCATCTCATTTCCACGCAGTGACGAAGGCTAATCTGAAGCAGAGCTTCAGCTCCAATATACGAACTTCAAGAATATACTCACACAGATGGCGCAAAAGATTGGCGACATTGAGCAGGAAGCAGAGGAGCATAAGTACTTTCTACTTTCCATTTTTAAAAGGGTAGCAGTAGTGACCTTTACTAGGCTTGTCATTGAGACACTCGAGCCCCTCCCCCAGGACCGCAAGTGCTTCCGAATGGTAAACGGAGTTTTGGTCGAGCGAACAGTGAAGGATGTGCTGCCTGCACTCAAGACAAACTCAGATGGTTTGAAACAGGTGCTCGACGAACTTGTGAAGCAATATCAGAGCAAACAGTCCGAGTTGGACGATTGGAAGGTTAGTTTGCCAATGCCAGGAAATCATGTTAATGGTATTGATGATTGACTCCTTTTGTCTCAATAGAAAAAGAACAACATCCAGGTCGTACAACCATGATCTAAAATGCTTTCCTCTTTTCTTGGGATGGCAGTCAGAAATACCCCTCCATTCCTCTTCAATCCTTCTAGCGGTTTTGGTGTCCATGGTCTCCTTTCGCGACCATGAGCAGGAACCGGAATCGAAAAGGCGTTAACGGGAGTCATGAGGTGACTGCATTGAGCGTATCCGAGCCTTCTACCTTGCGACTGACTGGGCTTATGCTTGAACATTCTCTCAAAGGAAGAGTCGAGATGTGTTGCATGCCGTCGGTCCGCTATCTGTCCATTGATACGACGAAGCTCCTGCAGCTGTGCATCCTCCCGTGTCTGGGAACCAGGCTCAGCGGGGATAAGATGTGATATCATATTACTCCGGTTTCTGCTACAAGGATGGAATCACCTAGTAACTACTAGTTGTGGATATAATGAACTCCCATGTCAAACCGCTCGTCAAACTTCATCCAGCTCACTATGCCTCTTTGACCCCTCAAGGAACTTTTCATCTCATTACTTAGAAAGAACGGGCGGCGTCTCGGATAGAAAGACGCATGCCTTGAGACAGTGTACCGTAGAGGAGCAAGAGTGTAAATGGTTTACCTGCTGCTGGCACCCAAGCTGACAAACACATGCGTTCAACTCGGTGTTCTCGAACGTAATGCAGGCTGCTCATGTGCAGCCTTGTCTCAGGTGAAAACCTGGTTGTCCAACACATTTGTCAAGACATGATGCCCGGTACTTTTGTCAAGTCCATGAGCAGAGTCCACACCTTGCGACCTTCATCGTCCTATGCATCGATTGCTCCTGATATCATGCTGTCATTGATGCCTGATACCTCCTCCTGGTCTGACGTCCGAACGATTTTGTGATGAGTCCTGGGTCAAGTCAAAATCTTCAGGCTGGACCTTGGCTGCTGACAGGCAACATGTGTGTGCCTGAAATGCAGAGCGCTCAGAACACAGCCTCACCAATGAGTTGTACTGGCACTGCTGTCACTTCAAAGCATATAGCAGATTATTCATTACAAATCTGAGGACCATGAGAGTATGCCAGTCATCCTTTGGATCAAGCAAACAAGAGCTTTTCTAGACCATCTTTGCCATCGCCGTCACGCTGCAATGCCACAGATACCAATAATCACGTGTATTTCCGTATCAATACATACTGTGTGGAGTATGGTTGACAGACCTCGCGGCATCACGAGGTCATTGTCGTAATTTATTGTTATCACATTGTAAACGGACGCCTGAGGCCAGCTATGGGTTCCCTCCTTGGTTGGAGCCCCTGCACTTCGTGTGTCTCACCTCAGCAACCGTCCATCTCTCATTCGAGTCATCAGGCAAATCAATCCACCAGCTCGAAGTGACTGAGTAGTTCATCAAAGTTCACTTAACTCTGCTTGAAAGTGTCTTCAATATTCTGATTCCCACAAATCTCATTGGCGTTGGTCAGCGACCAGTGAGAGTTCCCCTGGTCTGCCCACACATTCCTGGTTCGCCAATTGACATCTGCGCGCATCGCCATCCGTCTCCAGTCAGGATCCTGAAATATCTACTGGACAAGCTCAGCTCCTAAGTGGACGAAACAGTCGAAATACAACTGGCCGAGGACCATTCAAGCGAAACAGAAGCTCCCGTTCGTTCGAAGGTATGTAGTCTCTTCTCCCGATTCCCGTGGATCGTTCGTCTGCCTCTGCGCAACGTGCCACTATCAACTTGACCCACCACTGTTGCATTGGTTGCTACGCACGGAAGACCCGCGTCACTGTGAGTGTTCTCCGGGTTTCCAGATCTCCCGCGTTGGAGCATCCCGCATACCTGATTGACGTTACCACTGCACCACTCCTCTTTGCAGTTCTGTAAGGCGGACCGTCCGCCCACAACACGCGAAAGGTGGCAGGGAATAAAATTAACATTTTTATCGTTCCGAATTCTTGGACTAACTTATCCTTGCGACTGGCAACAAATCAGATTTGGTTGATCGAGTCATTATCTTACCTGTCGCGTCTTTCCTCGAATAACAGATTTCGCGCCTTGATTATACCCTCAGGGCAGAAGCTATAGCAGAAACAATTGCTCGTCCCCGCACTGCTGACACTTGTGCCTCTACGTTCGGGCTGCCGTGAAGCGAATCGCTGCCCAGCCAGACACAACTCTATTTTGCCTTTTGACGCGAGTGTATCATAGCGCCCGAGTTCAATACCCCCGAGGCACGCATCTCTGACGTGGTCTGCCAGCAGAGCAAATAGACGACTCCTTATCACATACCCTATCCAGTATCCGCTGCGCGTATACCTATAGCTAAAAATCATGTCGGCCTCTCCCTCGAAAGAGCCTGAGGTGGAACAGGAAGCGCAATCAGGTGAAGACCAAGAACATATGGATAAGGACCAGGAACAAACACAGAACCAGGGAGAATTCGAGGTGAAGGAGCAAGATCGATGGCTCCCGATTGCGAATGGTCAGTTGCGTTCCCTTGCAGCTTCCCTTGTCCTCCTGATTTGTGCGTACCTTACATCCAACTGCTGGCCAACAGCCGTCTGCCCTACTTCACTTTAACCGTACCCTGCGTCCATCCATTTATTGAAAATACCCCAACCTGCCTCCTTAACCAACAAACATCGCACTGTGGAGACCCTCATTCGCCTGCGGTTCGAGTGTAGCTCTACATGCGAAGCGCCTTTCTTATTTGCGGCGATACAATTTTCGTCAGATACCTATTCTGCGATGTCGTTCTTTTTGCGCCGCTCAAAGTTTTTACGCAATTATCCCCCGCAATTTTGGAGGAATGATGGGTAAACAGCTACATGTGCTAACATTTACCGTCAAGTGGCCCGTATCATGAAGTTGGCCTTGCCAGAGAACGCGAAGATCGCCAAAGAAGCCAAGGAGTGCATGCAAGAGTGTGTCAGCGAGTTTATCTCGTTTATCACCAGTGAGGGTGAGTGTTACTGCATCGGCTGCTGGTACTTGTCCATTTGACTAACGTATGATTGCGCCTTCTTCTGTATAGCATCTGAAAAGTGCCAGCAAGAGAAACGGAAGACGGTAAATGGTGAGGATATTCTGTTCGCCATGACCTCACTTGGCTTCGAAAATTACGCGGAAGCGCTCAAGATATACTTGTCAAAGTATCGCGAGGTAAGACTTGTACAACACGCTCAGGCGGCCTGCCTCCCCACCAACGGTTGGTGGTCTGGTGGGTTGTAATATCATGTGCTAAGTACTCCTCCAGACTCAGTCCGCCCGTGGCGAACATCAGAATAGGCCCACGAGCAGCGGCTACAATGCTGGAGGGCCCGTGGGCGGATCCAGCACGCAAGGTGGACGACCTGGTGCATCGGCTTCCGGCGGCTTTCCTGAAACGGCAGATAACACAAACAATATCATGAACCCCGGTCTGGACCCATCCGAACAGGACAGTTCAGCCTATGGCTACCCTTCGATGGTCGGCCAGCCTCACAATGGCGCAGGAGGCGACTCGTACTAACCGCATCATGTGTGACAGAGTCCGCCGCGCAAGACTCTCACACACTCCAAATCCTGCGCTGTCAGAATGAGAATATACCCTCGAAGACAGAGACGGTGCTACCCTTGTTTGGGGGGTTCGAGTCTGCCTTGGAACAGAGTCTCGAATTGTTTGTGGGGATGCTCCTAACGTTCTTTGAGTGTTGCTCTCTGCGCAACATTTTATGACATGGTACGACACATTGGGCTATTCATGAGGTAATCGACAGAGGGGTAAACAGGACCAGTTCGGATGCGCTTTTTAATTCTTTATTTTTTTACCCCGTTGATCATTGGTGTGCTTATGCTGTTTTCATCCGCGGCCTCTCTGTTTTTTTTTTTTTGGTCATATGTTCCCTTCCACGACGGTGTTTGTACTTTTTCATAGTAAATGTGTCGTGTGGAAACCATTTCTTTTCATGCTTACAGCACAGTCATCTCTCGGATTTCATTGTTTGATTACGGGAGGGCAGTTGGTCGCGAAAATACGGAATCATCATATGTATTCATATATGCCACTTGTTGGTGGTTTGTGACTTATGAGTATCTCTTGGGTGATATGGTGGGCCAAGTAGTTAATAGAAAGAAAGAGGTGGGACTTCGCTGTCCTTGAAAAATGACCGGGTCTTGATATTGGCCCCTATGTGGATGGCTTGATTCGAGGGGCCAGATGGGATGCTAACTTTCTGGACAGATGCTCAGGGAACAATCGAGCCTTTGTGCATTGGTAGATCTAAGACAAAGTGGAAGTCCACTATGGAGAGACTATTTCCATAGACATGAAGATATGTTGTACGCAAATTGAGGACATCAAATTAAAATCCTAGGTATCATTCATGATATATCGTTCATCAAGCCATCCAAGCAGCGCTAGCCGTGCATCCATCCTCCATCCTGGAGAAGATCCGACATCGGTGTCTCCTGCCAATAGATCTGGCGCCATTCATCTTCCAGCTCCAGGAGCCCATCCATGCTCATCGGCAGGACAGACTGGTCCGGATCCGTGAAGGAGAATAGCTGGCGCCAGTCCAGGAATTCCCTTGGCTGATCCATCGTATCGACAGTTGCCAGGTTCGTGGATGGGATCCAGCTGTCGAAGGGTTGGTTCTGGTGCGGGGAGACAGTGGTTTGTGGTAGAGACGTGGAGTCCGGGGTGGGAGCGTCGTAGGAGGGGAGGGGCCGATCTGGCTGTGGGGGTTGTACAGATGTGTTTGTTGAAATGTGTTGATTCTGGTTCTTGTTTTGGTTCTGGGTCTGGGTCTGGGATTGGTTGTGCGTGCTGCTGAAGGGTCTGGATCTTTCGCTTGTTGCCAGGCGAAGATCCTCTTGTAGACGTTTCGAATCTTCGAAGAGGCGTAGAATAGTGGTGGCGTGCGACCAGTACTTGGCTAGTTCGCGGAGTGAGTAGGAGGCGGAATCAAAGCGGCGCAGGGCGTTAATGGCTAAGACAGGGTTCGAGAATCGCAGCTCGACTCGAACTTGGATCATCGCTGTAAAGAGAGTATGGACGCCGGAATACCATAGGTACTTGAGACGATCGTTTAAGCGGAGTTCTTCGAAGATAGATGCGATGACGCCAGCGGCTGCACTGCAGATCTCTGCATCATGCGGGCCGTAGTCATCCGAGTACGCGGATGCCCTGGGATGGGGCCGGTGAAGAAGGATGAGAAAATTGTTGTAGGTCAAGTGAAGCATGGCGGACCAAGGATCCATATCCGAGGCACGCAGCCGCAGATTGTCTGGAAGCCGCAAAGACCAGTTCGCAAGAGCTTCATCTGCTTCTTGCAATGCGGCTTTGCGACGCTCCGAACTGACTCGTAGTCCGAATCGCTCGCGCACAATATAAGATATCATTGTGCAAAGCTCTGAAAAATGAATGACATAGTCCGTCTGGACACGGACCCCGCAGCCTTCAAAATCAGAGGCTGTCAACGGAGAGACATCGGAGTCTTCGAGGTTTCTGGCGCACAGAGAGATTAGAGCAGGCATTGAGACTCACATCCGGGCTAGCGCACTTACATAGCTTGAGGTCGACCATACGAAAGGGAGACCAATACATCGAACTGAACCAGTATGTACCATAGCCTTCTCCACATCCGGCGGTCCCGGGAAACGAACCTGCTCGAGACTGGATTTCGATGCATGCCGAGGCCAGTCGCGATTCGAGCAGCAACACCGACCCAGTAGTGAGCGTTGGCAGAAACATCATCATCGGGGCTGTCTGAATGCCACGTCAAGAGCAGCGCAGCTTGCACCAAGGTATCACGGTTTCGCTCAATGCGATTGTCAAAGAGCCATTTCGCGCGACGGAAGAAAATGTCCTTCAAAGTATCCCGCTCTTCTTTTGGATACGTGACATGGCATCCGACTAATAGAATGGCTTGCAAAAGCAGGATAGGCGGAGGATCAGAGGGGTCTCTATTGCGATACTGAGTCATGAACTGATCTTCTTCAACAATGGGATATCCCGGGTTCACGTGGGTGAAGTATGCCTGGACAAGCTCGTCGACGAGGGCCGGCTCCGGTAGAGTCAGAGCATCTACGAGAAGCTGGTCGTGGCCGGTTTTCAACTGTCGCCGTGGTATCTCGCTGCCCGCAAAGTGATATACGTCATCATCTTTATCGCGCTGTTGACGTATCAGGAAGGACATGTTGGACAGCTCGTGTCCAACATAAATTGCTCGCACGCCCCGCTGAATTTCCCGAGCACCTGACCCTTCCTCATCGTCAATGAGCTTCACCAGTCGCTTCTCAAAGTCGGCATGGGCATCCTGTTCGGCGAGACGGTCCGAAGCGGGCGGAAGATGGCATTCCTGTGCTTGTGGAGACGTGTGGCTATAACTATGGCTGTGGAGATGTTGCCCCTTGGACTGAACATTCGGAACGACGCTCGCCGGAGGAGCTGCTGCTTCTGGCTGAACTCCGCGGAAAGCAGTTATGAAAGCAGTCGGTTCGCTGATGGTAGATGGAGGAGACGCTTCGGGGACATGTTCGGAGGTGGACGGCGGCCGACAACGAATGGGAACGGGATTCAGAATGGAGCGTACCGCAAGGCGCTTCTTCTTCTCATGGATGCGGCAGTCTGTTTTCCCCGAGGAGCGGCAGTTGGAGCAGGGCAGGCCAACGATACGTGCGTCACACCGGACTTTGCGCCGATGGCAGTGGACGCAGGCTGCAGAGCCTAAGCCAGAGGAAGATCAGTATCGATATCGGCAAGTAAATCATGGAAACAATGGTAGTCAACAGAGGTGATGTCTACCTGACTTGCGCTTGGTCACACCATTGCCGGTGGGTGAAAGGCTATTCTGCGCTGTGGATGACATAGCAAAAGCATCGAGGCAGATTCAGGGCCCGTAGACTTTCTTCCTCATCATGTGAAGCCGAGAGAGGTCCGGAATTGGGATATCGATTCAGGAGCCCGACATGATCCAGACAATCAGAAAGAAGAGTAGAAGTGGGAGATAGGCAACTGCCGAGAGAGAAATCGCAGGAACAGCGATAAAGAGAAGACCGATAATGAACGAAAGTGGGGAAAAGCTGCGTCTGGGGAGGGTCACGTGGAGGTGCGGAGAAGGCGCAGTCGGAGGATTTTGTTTGATAATGGAATGTGCGAGACCAGAATGGCATTCGACATTGTCGTTGAGCTCAATGTGCGTTTTGGAGGGCGCAAAGAAGGTCTTGTTGGCTGAAGACAGCGAGAAAAGGCAGTTTTCCGTCAGCGAAGCTGTTATCAGTTGCGGTCTGTGTCTGCACCAAGGAGCTGTCCAGGATCTTCATAATCTTCAAGCCAGGCACTAGCCTGGGGACTCGAAGAGTCGTATCCAGTCGTACTCCGTTAGTTCTCCGAAATTAAGGACATTATTGATCGCAGCCAAGTTGTCTTCACCTTGATGCATGTAAACATATCTCTTCCAAAGTTTCGATATCTTGAACAAGACTGTGCCTATGTATGCTTAAACAGACCTTGTACTCTCTGTGATTGCTCTAAATGTATGTACAAAAGTTGAGCATATGAATCGGCTTAAACATAAAGTAGTGTACAATGTAGCTACCCAAACACAAACATAAAGTAGTGTACAATGTAGCTACCCAAACACAAACCGTTTCCAGTTATCTGCCAGTCGTTGGACCCCGTCTTGTAAAGACCAGCCACGGAGCTCACAGATCTGCCGGGCAACTTCCTCGAGCAAATCATCCATCTGCTGTCCAGCAGTGTGAAGGTCACTCTCAATGAGTACTCTGTCCTCTGGCAAAGCTTTGATAACTGCGATGACTTTCTGAGACGACGGTCCGCTGAAATTGATCACATTGGAAAAGGAGAAGTAGACGTCCGAGGGATTGGAAGGGTTCAGAAATTGCTTCAATTGCTCCACAGGACCTGAGTACGAATGCATACAGATCCGGGGTGGATATGGGAGAGGTGGACCTTCGCGCTTTAGTGACTTTCGCAATTGCTCGTCTTCCGCGTCGCTCTCCGCGTGAGCACCTTCAACGCTAAGACGTCTTCGTCTCTCCCGTCGCGATGGTACTCTGCGCTCATGGCCGGACCATAGCTCCTTGAAGACATCAAACACCGCTCCATGTGCTTGGACACTGTGTACCGAGACTGGTCGTCGAAGTTCCCCGGCGAGGCGAAGCTGGGCTTTAAGAATAGCCTTTTGGTGTTCCATGTGCACCCTGTAGGGTGAGAGTCTCCGACCTTCACGAGATCCAGGCGTTATTTGCACGTTCCGATTGTCAGCCTCCTGCTGGGTCCAGGCCTTTGGAAGTCTGAAAGCACGGTCAAGGCCCACCTCGCCAACCAGAGCATGTGGGAAAGATAGTAGCCGTTCGCGTGTTTCGGAGATGAATTGTGAGAGGGGTTTTGGATCAGGTAAAGAAAAAATGAAGTTTTCATCTTCTGGAGCTGGTGTTAAGACTTTCTGATAATGTATCTTCTTGCTCTCAGGATCCAGGACGCCCTGCGCTGCCTCCGATGATGGCTCCTGATCGTCGATGATTTGGTGTGAAAACCATGGATGCCATCCAAAGCATGGAAGCACGCGATCCATCTCGACATCCTGCACAGTCAGTTTTTCATTGTTAAGGTCTTTAGCTATCTGAAATACAAGGCCCTGATCCTCTGCTCTAGTGGCCATGACTGTGAGGGTCGTTGCTTTCATCCTTGGAATGTCAGATATTGACGAAATGGTGTCCGTGGGGTGACAGTGGGCATCGTAGACGCCCAGCTCCCAAGGAAAATCGGGGACCTTGTCATGTTCATTTTCAGGCATGTTCCTCCCTCCCGTCCATATGCGTTGATCTCGTGGTAGTATGATAGAGACAGTTTAGAGTGACAACGGAATGCTGTGATGTAATGATAAACAGTAATTACTGCCTGGGGCATCAATGGCATCAACCTTAGCCATCTACGTATCAGTATCACATGCTTTTTCTCCGCACTTTGTTGCTGTCAAGGCGAAGCTCCGATAACAACCCAGGCAGTACTTTAAAGCTCCATTTGCCATCGCAGTCTATCAAGATGTCGTGGCTCTCTCTTTCCCCGATCAGAATTCTGGGTGATATGATGGAATATACCCTTTTATCCCGTCCAAGCCATTCACTATCTTCCAATTTCATACTGAACCTTCTCTGCGTTTAGTCTTCATGTCAACCACGTGCTCCACCTTGTTGGCAGTACCTTTTCTGGCACTGGTTTCGCTACCTCTGGTCTTCTCGGCATATATTACCATCTGTCTCTCCGTACTGACTCTGTTTTTACGACTTCTGGTCATTTACGTTGAGCTATGCTTTGCTATAGTCTCAAACTACTTTGTGATTCCGACGTCCAGCAAGTCTTCATTGCTGAGTTTTGCCTCTGAGCCGACCACCCCGGCCGTCTCTGCCACGCCCAAGAGGCGATCCATTGATCATGGCGTCACAGTGATATTACCTCACAGCAGCAACCATCTCCAAATAGCGCCCTTTTCTCGGGGGCACACTCGCCCGGCGCCGGCTCGACGGCGGAATAGTTCGAATGCTTCAACCGGGCACCCCGACGGCGACTATGGCCGGCCCGTCCGCAAGGAAGAGCTGCGCAGAAACGGGTTTACTACTCCTCCATCTGCTCTCCTGACTCTCGTCAGTGGAGACGAAGGCCGAGACTTCGAAGGCGTGGGTGGCTGGCGCTGCCCACCATCTGCAAAGTCGCATGGCCATCTTTCCAGGTCCGCATCGTCCTCCTCGAAGGACAGCTTAAGCGACGAGGCAGATGAGCGCGCCTGGCTCTCAATCAATGATCGTCTCGAGCTCCCCTCACAGCCCTTTCCACTGCGGAACCACCCCGAAACAGCAGACATTCTGCCCTGGAGACACAGCCAGGCCGCCTCTCGTAGTCCCGATGGCCGCAGACAGCGCCATCACCACCGTTCCGCAACCACCTCCCTGATCCCGAGTCAGACTCGCCGACCTCCTACTTCTCCCTCAGCATCTCGGTCAAACAGGTCAGAGTTCCATTTGCCGGCCGTCTCGGGGGCCCGCTCCCGAGGTCTCTCTCCGCGGCCACAGTCTCAGGACGCATCGTCTCTTTCGACATATTCTGATTTCTTCCGTGCTATGGCCAGTGCGCCGCAGACACATTCTCAATTGCGCCTATCAAGTTCAGCCGAGGCCCCGGGGGGTTACTTTGCTTTCCGCCCGGGCAATGGAGCGAATAGCAGCGGGAGTGTGGTCTCAACGGGCACCACGACACCAGTCGAGGATCGATCCAGCACAACGCCCCGTAGTATGGGAAGATTCATGGCTCATTATCCTACAGGCGTGAGATATCGTCGACGAAGTGTATCGGGGCCCAACTTTGGATCGCAATTGCCCAGTCCTTCTTTGAGTAGAGACCGGACCTTTTGACTGTTTGGTTATTGATTTTGAGAATTCAACAGAAGCGTCTTGGTAGTTTTGCATATTAGCAATTGGATTTACAAATTGACTACTGAGTGATTATGCGTCTGCAACTCATGGGTTCTAGCGACTGAGGCCATTTCACCATATCTATGAATTATACTCTAATAATACACTCAGTATGTCCAACTCACTGACGCAGAATCTGCAGAATTTATCTAGAAACAAGGAAATAATTACTGCGGGGGAAAAGGTATATCGCTCATAATAAACAGTGCATCATCTGCGTCAGGTCCGACCCCGAGCCCTCTCCCTTTGGCTCACCTCTTCCATTTCCTCCAATACCACCTTGTTGAATTCTTCCCATCCATCGAGGTAGATATGATGACCCGATCCCTTGATGATTACCACCTTAGCCGAGCCATTATCCGCCTCACGCTCTTCTGGTGAAGCATTCTGAAGAACCCGCCGTTTCTCCTCTTCAATCTTGGCCTTGGCTGCGAGACCTCCAGCCGCATCCATCCAGTCATGGTCTCCATACATGAAAACGACGGGAATACCGGTCTCACGCTTAGCTGGGGGTGGAGAAGCCTGAGTTGCCGAGTCAGAAGGCGGTTGCAAGGGAGAGGCGTCCGTGGCGGTCGCAGGCTCTGAGCCAGAGGCCGAAGGCTGAATGATCTGCCGTCCGACGTTCTGGATGCGCCGAATCAGAGGGCTACGAGCGAAGGCTCCTGGAGCTAGGATATATGCAAGAGCATACTCTCCACTACCACGTTGACTGAAGATCGAATAGGAGTAGTCGTGTAGAGCTTTTGCTTCGTTGGCGGGTAAATGGGAGAAGCGCCGAGAGGTCCAGCCAGATACAATGCGGGGCCCGAGAGGGCCAGCCCACCGTACCAGACTGAAGGGAGAGATGTTGGCTTCCCACAGATAGGCAAACCATTTGGGAACGTTGCGGCGGGCCGGTCGGCTCTCCGGTGGTGCCGCTGTCGCCGCGTTACCGTAGCCTTTGAGCAGGACGTTGTTGTCGCCTTTCTGGGCTACTTCCGGGGGGACAGACAACGATGTCTGTGCGATAGTTTGCTGGTCCTGGGTGAACTCCTGGGCTAAACTGGACTCGGATGGTTCGGGCATATCCGCAGAGACAGCATAAGGATCTTCGGGAATCCCCACTGGAGAGGCAAGGATCAGCTTGTTCAAACGACCGGGGTACTTCAAGGCATAAGCGACTCCCATATATCCTCCCATGCTGTGGCCAAGCAGCGTAAAGCGTTCGATCTTGCGCTTCACGCGCCATTCCTCCAATGCATCAACGAACCAATCCTCCGCCTCCTTGATAGCATCTTCTCTGTTCTTAGCCTTGATGCGGAACGGTGGTCGGGTGCTGCGACCCATGCCTAACATATCCAACGCGTGCAGTTGCCACCCCTTCAGCCGGCTTAGAGGTTCAAAATTTTTGTAGAAGAAGCCCAGCCCCGCACCATATCCGTGGAGCATGACCAAATGTTGGTCCGCTTCCTCACCAACTCTCTCCACAGAAAACTCATTTAGAGCCCTGTCCTTACCGCTCAATTCAACCATGCTGGAGCGCCATCGTCTTGGTCCGTACGGATCGTCGGTGGAATTGGCCGATACTTCACCTTGCTGGCTGAGATCGGCCGACTGCAGACTTTGAGCCACACCATCGCGCTGAGTGGCGGTCTTTCCGGTCTGCAGATGCGTAGGAGGTTCATGCTGGAGATAGGGCAAGAACGAGAGGACTTTATGCTCTGCTGCCGCAGCTGGCAGACTAGCCCACTGGAACCAAATCTCAGTGACTTGTACAACAACTTTGGTTATCATCTCCCGACTTCAGGAACCTACCCATTGATTGAAGCCTTCTCTGTAGCCTAGTGGAAACCACGAGGAGCGCACTGCAGCTGCGTTAGCCCCTCGGGCGGCATACGGCGTGCTCTCTTGCTGAGAGACATACGGACCATGGTGGGCTTGATCATGAAGGTCGTCCTTAGACGAACTGAGTGATTCCGAAGTCATTGAGGATGTGTAGCGTAGGTGAATTGCGGGATGTGGCGAAGAAAGGAGACGGGGCGGTTCAAATGACGTCCAGGGTCGGGAGACCTGGGAAGAGAGTGAAGGAAGTCGCACGGCGGACAGCTTGTCGCGATGTAGTCCAGAGTGACAGAGACGGTATCCCTGTCACTCCCACAAAAGGAGACAAGAAGAATATTTATAGGAAAGGGACGCAGAGGTCATAAATCCGTCAGCAGTGGAAATAAGAAGACCAGGTGGGCGTTTTGTAGCGGTCAGAAACGAAGCCAAAGACCGCTTATCCCCGAAGCTCAACAGGCAGCCGGAATGATGACGAAGCTGGGAGGAACCAGGACTGTTTAGAGTTTCAACGATGGGTATAATTATTTGTAGGGTATCATAAGTCGTACAAATGCGATGAGATGAGATTGCTTGAATGGGGGGAAAACATTTTATTTGTCGCAGTAGATATCTGAGGAACGTTGAGTGGAGATGCTGTGACGATGATCCGGCTGATTTTCTTCTCCTCTTTTTCGTGGAGCTAGTGATGCTGTAGCTGGATGAGCCGGAAACATTATTATTATCAACCTTATCGACTTTCTTCTTTGGCTTTGTTTTCCACATCTCATGCGATGAAATCGCGTCTGGCCGCAAAGGCCGTGCAGTCCCTCTAGAAGTCTACGATTTCCTCTTCTACTTGCAAAGGGATCTCCTCCTGTTGATCCTTCTCCCCTCCCTCCACAGCGTCATGGCTGCACAAACCCGGAGCCTAGATCAGCTTGTCAAGGGTTCTCCAGCTCCTGGAAGTCTTCCAGAGTCCCTATCCAAACCCTCTGGTCAATTGAACACCCTTCAGCCGCCGTTTTCTCAAGATGCCCCGGCTCCTCCCTCCCCGCCCCGTTCATCGACCCCGGATCTGCTCTCGACATTGCCCTCGTCTCCTCCTCAAATCTACCTGAACCTTCTCATTCTCGAAAGTTCGCTGCGAGCTCAGTATCTGGCGCTGCGGGAACGCCGAAGACAGAATACCTTTTTCTTGCTCCTGCTGGCTGCCTGGATTGCCTACTTTGCTTACGCGCTCTTCCTTCGTCCGCGGGAAGATGGCAGCGGGGTGGGCGGCTCCATTTACTGGATGGTCGAAATGGGGGAAAAGGTTGCGCTGCTAGGAGGAATCGTCACTGCGTTGTTAGTCTGGGGAACAGGACAGTGGGAACGGGGAGTGCGATGGCCACGGCGCTGGCTCGCCGTCGCCAACCGCGGCCTACGCACCATGAACACCAAGATCGTCATCATCCGGGGCCCCTGGTGGCAGGAGCTACTATCCTACCTTTCCTTTCTCTTCCCATTCACCTCTCCTTTCTTCCCTGCTCCAACCGGGAATTTCCACTACATCGAGCGCCCGTCGTCGGACAAGCGCGGTGGTCGGCAGCACTACCAGCAGTATTACAACAACGTCGACAGCGAATCAGGCCTTGTGGAGGAAGATCTCAGCCCCGGGGGTGATTACATCCGTCTGCTTCTTCTTCCCAAATCCTTCTCGCCTGAATTCCGCGAGAACTGGGATGATTACCGAACCGAGTTCTGGGAAAAGGAGAACGAGCGACGCGCTCAACTGCGCGAGAAGTTGCGGCAGAAGGAGCGCCAACACGCTCAACAAGAAGGTGGCTGGTTCTGGTGGCTCGGGCTCGGGTTAGGCTGGAAGGCCTCACAACGCCGACGACTCGTCGCCGCAACCCTCAAGTCCAGCGACGGAGACAAGCATCGTCATCACCATCATCACTCCAGCATCTCCAAACACGCCCACGATCTCAAATCTCCCACAAGACGTGGTGCGCGCTCAGAGTCCCATTCCCGTACCCCATCTCGTAGTACAACGCCAGTGGACATCGACGATCGTCCGCCGTCTCGCTCTTCCGCCAGCAGCCGTCCACGCCGGGGAAGCACAACCCCGTCTTCCACTGCTTCGGAACAGAGCATGCAGCTACGGAAAAAGAAGGGCACAAAATCACTTTCCCGCGGGCTCTCGCCTTTGACCCAAGCGCAGATCAGGGAGGGCATCTATAGTACGCCATCGCTCTCGTCCGATGATTCGTTCCTGGGCGAGAGTCGCGAGGGCACACAGTCCCGCGAAGCTAGTCCCTCGGTGTAGTTTGGACGCATCCCATGTCCGTCATATACCATAATTAGAACCATCACATGCATTGTATGGATTTTTGTGTCGATGTATCCGCGAACGGATTTTCAGACTCTCGTCAATATATGGATTTATTCTCCACTGTGCCTTTGTGGTCGTAGCTGAACGATCTCCCGATATACAAGCAAGAAAATAGATCTAGAATCATGGAGCGTTCTCTTCAAACTCAATTGCAGTGAGCATGGGACCTTATGCCAGGGGCTATGCATTGTAAGACATTATTCTCATACATGGGCAGACTATTGTGTCACTTGCATACAAAAAGTAAAGGAAAAACTCCGATACGCCATACTGAGTCTCCGGCGCAATTCAACATATTGGAATGAAATCCGTCAACCCTTCCCGAAACACTATTCTAACCACTAGTATGCAATAATCATTGGATCTAAATCCTGTAAACAGTCTCATCGTCCTCAAGGAACCTGTGAGCAAAAGAGCGTTAGTCAGGCCTGACGATCATGTCAAAATATCTGTCGGATGACTTACATCAACTCGTTTCTTTCGTTCATGGCTTTCAGTGCCTCAATTGCCTCTGCTCGCTGGAAGACATGGCCTGCTCCGAGTGAGGGGGATTCCCGCACAGCGGTATTAACTGCTCCAATGAGTTCCTCCACATCGGCGGTATCGCCGTGAGTGAACAGCCGTGTGCCCATGAGTGGGCCTAGAGCCTGACGGAAGACGGTCAAGCGCGCAGGTTGGATTGGCTGGGACGTAGTAGTAGATCTCATGGCATTCTGTGATTGTGAATCATCGGTCTGAGACTGGATGAGCTGCGACGCTGGTTGCGAAGAAGCAACGGACATCCGAGATTGGCTATCTGTCTGCGTCTGCGTACGGTTTGTCTGGCTTGAACGTAGTCGCTGGCCTCGTGGGCTAGCAGAGTACAAACCGTCCCCGTCTTCCGACACGACGTCTCCGTCGGCATCCATCTCGTCTCCGTTATTGGACCGCGTAGCTGCTGAACGTGTTCGCATTGTTCCGACTCGCCGGCTCGACCGTGGCGTGGCGGTTGTATTCGCGGGAGTATTGTCATTATCAGAGTCGGATTCGCTCGATTCGGAGTCTTCGTCGAACGTTGTGACCTTCCTCCTCTTGCGGCGCTCATCCTCAAGAACTTCCTTGAACATAGCGAAGCGCAGAATAGATTCCGCAACCTTGGCATCTCGCTCCTCGACTCGGTTCGATAAGCGAGCCTTCGCGTGCGCCGTGGACAAACGAATCAATGTCTCCAGCGTACGCGCGGTTATAGGGGATGTTCGACGCTGGTTGCCCGAGAGCTCGTCATTTCTCAAAGCCGAGTACGTCGCGACAATATGATCGGCGGCACCCTTAGTGAGAACTGGCTTGATTCTCGATTTGGAGTATTGAATGTACTTCTTGATGAAGGGAATGCTCAGAATTTCAATGCCCTTGCCCTTGCGGCTCGAGTTGGCCATTCCGGCATGGAGCATAACATTGAACTTTTCGTACACCTCCGTCGGCTGGTTGGAGTCCTGGTTATCTTCAAGCCCAACACCCAAGGTTTGGTTGAGGTCTTCCCGAACCGGGGCACCTTCCTCGGTTCCGGGTTGACGGTAACGGTGCATGCGCAAGACGTGCTCCGAGACCATTCTGTCCCTGGCATCTTCAATATCGTCCGTCACAACAAAAAGCAAATCGAAACGTGAGAGAAGTGAATCAGGAAGGGCGATGTTCTTGTGAGGGTCTTTGTGAGGATCATATTGTCCGTAGATAGGATTAGCGGCTGCCAGAACACTGCAGCGAGCGTTCAAGCTTGTGTGAATGCCAGCTTTGGCAATAGTGACCGTCTGCTGTTCCATCACCTCGTGAATAGCCACTCGATCCACATCACTCATCTTGTCGAACTCATCAATACAGACAACACCGCGATCACCCAGGACCATGGCACCGGCCTCCAAACGACGCTCCCCAGTCTCCTTATCAGAAGTGACAGCGGCTGTCAAACCGACTCCCGAAGAGCCCCGACCTGTGGTTGCGATTGCGAGAGGTGCTGTATTCAAGACGAAACGAAGGAGTTGCGATTTGGCGGTCGAGGGATCACCGACCATGAGGATATTGATGTCACCACGCAAATGCGTGCCGTTGTCGAGATTCTTCTCCATTCCACCCAAGAGCATCAGCAAGATCGCTTTCTTGATATAATCGTGTCCGTATATGCTAGGTGCAAGGGAGTTGGATAGCAACTCAAATACGTTCTTCTTTTTGGCGACTTTGTTGATGTTTCGAATGTCGGTGTCCGTGATAGTAGCTTGTGCAATGCCTCCGCCAGACTTTGAAGACAGTTGAATAATATTGTTGGCCATAACAACCGTGCGAAAAGTCGAAGACCCAGAGCCGGCATTTCGATTTCCCAAAGAGCGGTAAATTCCCACCAGCTGAATCCGGTCTCCAGGTTTGGCACTGTCCACCAGATCATCGTCCAAGATTACGTCGACACTCCGAGGAAGCTGGCCTGCAGGCGCTCTCTCTGGCATTTCTTGGATAGAAATGGTTTGGTGATCCAGGTATGTCGAGTACCCGTACTCTGTGATCAACTAGAAAGACGAAAACAAAGTCATCAGCGATACCAGTCCAGTTAAGGCTCTTCCTTCGATGGCATACCGGATTCTTCTCATCATCTTCTTGAGGATAGACATTCATGTTGGTAATTCCGGTAGTTGTCATTGTCTGATCTCTATACCTCCTCGCAACGAATCGATCTTTCCGTTCGTTGTAGTGTACACTTTGGATGACTTTCGGGCGAACCAAAGAGCATTTTGTGACAATACCCTCGAGAGAAATCATTCGGTTC